AAAAATTCCCATCCCAAAAAAGTTATACCTCTCTACATTGTCTCTCTCTCTCTAAAATTTCCCATCCCAAAAAGGCTTGACGAGCGCAAATGAGGAAGCAATGAGCAAAGCCACAACGAGTTTTGCTTTGTCATAGTGAAACGAATGTGCAACGAATCAAAAAAGTGAGTTCAGTCGTTAGCGCAACCAATGTAAACTCAACAATGAGTCCTTTTTGTTGCCGGAGTTCAATCGTTAGCGCAACTACAAAGCCCCCTCGTTGTTGAGGACTTTTTGTTGCTGACTAAAAACCGCAAACAAGTAGTGGCCGGCAACAAGCAACCTCTGCCATAGTGATGGGTTGATGCAATGAGCAAAGCCAGTGGTAGCAACACAAAAGCACAAGTTGAAGATGGCTTTTGCTCAAGTTGATGCAATGAGCGAAGCCAGTGGTAGCAACATAAAAGCACAAGTTGAAGATGGCTTTTTGCTCTTGCGAAGCACTCTCAAACAAGTCCTTTACAGGAAACAAGTTGAAGAAGGCTTTTTGCTCTTGCGAAGAGCTCTCAAACAAGTCATTTGCAGGAAGCAAGTTGAAGATGGCTTTTTGCTCTTACGAAGCACTCTCAAACAAGTGCTTTGCAAGAAGCATAGCTCAACATAAAAGCACGCGTTTTAGAGGGCTTTTTGCTCTTGCAAACCCATGGTTCAACATAAAAGCACTCGTTTTAGAGGGATTTTTTGTTCAACATAAAAGCACTCGTTTTAGAGGGCTTTTTGCTTTTACGAACCCATGATGAACCAAGAAGTCTCTAGAACCTATTGTTAGAAATAGTGAATTACCATAGTCTTCGACCAGCCAGGTATTGAACTGGGCCGACCTAGGCCGACCAGACCTATTGTTAAGAATAGTGAATTATCATTCTCATCAATAGCATTCAACCAGCCAGGTAACCATAAGCTTCGACCAATAGCATTCAACCAGGCCAACCTAGGCCGACAAGACCTATTGTTAGGAATAGTAAATTATCATTCTCATTAATAGCATTCAACCAGTCAGGTAACCATAAGCTTCGACCAATAGCATTCAACCGCCCAGGTAAGCTTCGACCAATATTGAACTGGGCTGTTCGTTGAAGTCTTACCATAAGCGGATTGTATCCATCGACCAGTATTGAACTGGGTCGTTCGTTGAAGTCTTACCATAATTGGATTGTATCCATTGCCAGCCAAGTAAGCTTCGACTTGTATTGAATTGGACCATTCGTTGAAGTCTTACCATGAGCGGATTGTATCCATTGGGCAAATATAGGTTCGATCATCTCTTCAAAGAAAGTTATGTCAAATAAGTTCGATCAACTCGTCAAAGAAAATTATGCCAAATCGGTTCGATCATATCTTCAAAGAAAGTTATGCCAAATCGGTACGGCCAGGCCAATCTCATTCTAAATATTTTGCTCTCTTCAAAGAAAGTTATGCTAAGTATGCCAAGTTATACTAAACCAGTATGGCCAGGCAAGGAGAGTCGATGTAGAGAGGGGAGGGGAGATAATTTTTTGAGAGAGGAGGGAGACGATGTAGAGGAGAACTTTTCTGCACCTTTGAGTTTTAGAGAGAGATGGAGTTCAGAGAGTTTTAGAGAGAGATGGAGTTGAAACGGTGATTTGAGAGAGAGAAGATTAACAGAAAAGAAAAAAACTTAGAGAGGGTGTTATTTTAGTGTTTCTTTGGGGAAAACATTCATGGTCAAAAGGGTCAAGAGTTTGTTTGCGTAAAAAATTCATGATCTAAGGATCACGGGTTGGTAAGATAGAAAAAAGGGTTGGTAACATAAAAAAAATGAAGGCCTTTTGCTTATAGTAATATTTTCAATCTTAGGTCTCATAAAAATAAAAAATATAGGCATTTTGCTTACTAGCAATATTTTCAATCATGGGTTTCATATAAGTCAAAAATAGAGGATAAGGAGATATTTTCCCTTCAAAAAATATCTTTCAACCCCGGCCACTTTAAATTTATTTTTTAACGTAAACAAATGTGAGAAAGATTCTAAACCCAATCCCTTCTCTCTCTCCATTTATATACCCCAAACTTCTCTCCCTATAAGTCAATTTTTCTCTCTCCTCCCATATTTTTAAACCTAAACAAATGTGAGAGATTTTAAACTCAATCCCTTCTCTCCCTCCATTTATATACCCTAAACTTCTCTCCCTAAAAGTCAATTTTTCTCTCTCCTCCCATATTTTTAAACCTAAACAAATGTAAAAAAGACATACTCTTTCTAAACCCAATCTCCTCTCTTTTCATTTATATACCTCAAACTTCTCTTTCTAAACTCAATCCATTCTCTTTTAATTTATATATCCCAAACTTCTCTATGTTTCTCTCTCCTCCCATGTTTTTAAACCTATTTTTTAATCTAAACTAATGTAAACAAGATATGCTCTTTCTAAACCAAATCCTTTCTCTCTTCATTCCCAAACTTCTCTTGAAAAGCCCAATCCCTTCTCTCTTCATTGATATACCCTAAATTTCTCTATCTCTCTCTCTCTCCGAAAGCCCCGATCCCTTCTCTCTTCATTTATATACCCTAAACTGCTCTCTCTCCAAAAGTCAATCCCTTCTCTCTTCATTTATATACTCTAAACTTCTTTCTCTAACTTCCATCTCTCTCCTCATATTTATCCAAACACCTCTCTCTCATCTCTCTCTCCACAATTTTTTTTAAAAAATACATATGATGAGACCATTTATTTTGATACAAGATCAAAATCATTATCAACCATTAGATGTGAAATTAAACCGATAGTGATTTATCACACTGCTTAAGCAATATCCAAACAAATGTTTAAAAAAGCTCTAATATATTTTGATATGTTAAATTTCACATCCAATACCCAAAAAAAAAAAATGTTACCTTATAGTAAATAGTCTGGTAGCGTACAGTCCATTTTCCCCCGACCATTTGATCAATGGGAAAAGTTTATATAGAGCTGAGGCTCTAAACAATCAAATTAGAACCTACCTCAAAAACTTCACTAGACAAGGTTGTTTTGATCGTTTTGATGATCTCAACATCAAGATCCATGTACATAAGAAAAAAAATAGATTTCAAGTGTTGAAAATGATGTATTTTATAACATAATTTTGGACCGTCAATTTTCAAGATTTTCCAATTTTCATAGATATGTCGATCTATACTATTTTTGAATCTTTAAAATTTATAAATAAATATGAAAATATACTTTAAGACTATCACACATATTTTCAATATTAAAACTACATCTTTCGCTACTATTTGAAGGTAGGGTCTAATTCGATTGTTTAGAGCCTAGGCTCTATGCAAACCGCACCCTCTTGATCAAATCCATATTATTTTTTCCCACTCAGCTATTCAATTGCTTGTGAATAACGCAGAGCACATGCCCTCTATGTGGTCATCACCAACTTTAATAGAAAACACGGGTTGCCATTCCATTCGTCAATTAGTCATGTAAAGCTTTCAAATTCAAATCCCACCAAAATAAGCATGGAAGAGGACAAAATTGAAAATTAAAATAACCAAGGAGAAAAAGGGGGCGAATAATTAGGCTTGAGGTTGGACACGAGGCACATGCCTCACCAGCTGGCGGCAGCTTTATTAAGCAAAAGCAGTAACACCACAAAGATAGCCCTCCTATTGAACTCATATCTCCTGCAAGCCCTTCCCCAAACGCCTCGTTCGAAATCGACCTTTTGATCATATATTAAATGATGCGGCTTTTTAGGATAATTAATTTATGACCAATAATCTTATAGGATCTCTCCATCATATATTAAATGATGCTATTTTTTAGGCCAATGATCTTATAGGATCTCTCCTGCTTACCTCTTTCTCCTATATGTGTGCTTACCTTCTCCCATGTGTAAGACTCTAAAAAGATCACACACCGTTATATGTGTAAAACCATAAAAGATCAACCATGTAATATCCTAAAAAGATCACCATCGTTTCCGATATGTGTATAGGACCTAATAAGAATTAAGAGTTGCAAATCCGATATGTGTATAAGACCTTATAAGATCCCATCAATTAAGAGTTGCAAAGGAAGAATCTTATAGAATCATTACTTTTAATTTATTTATTTATTTATTTTATTTCAATAATATACTTACTTAAATTTGGTGTCTAGGTATATTTTTATAAATATAATTAAGTAGTCAAATAAAAATGATTAAAATACTTATAAATTTATTTTGATCAATATTTTTTTATTCAAAATATTTTTTATTAATTTTATTCAATCGTACCTATAGTATATAGATTAATATTATTTTTAAATAAAAAATTAAACGAGATTCATTATTGGCCCTTGGATGAGCATAGTTCAATCTGAACCGTCCGTTACAAGGTGATGTGAACCTTTATAAACGTCCACATGCTGTGGACGTGGATACCAACCAGGAAAGGGCCAGATAAAACAAACGACCAGTAGGCCTGAAACACATTAAAAGAGCTAGGAAAAAAAGCACAAAACAGGTGGTCCCCACCTGTTGACACGTGAACGTGAAGAACCTCAGTTTTTAACAAAAACAATCGAATCCAATCCGTTTGAGAAAAACCGCTACTGCAATGACCAAATTTACCCCCGTCTTATCTCAAATTCCAAAATTACCCCACCTCTCTGTATTCTTCTTTTCCCACCGCTACTGCAATGACCAAATTTACCCCCGTCTTATATGAAATTCCAAAATTACCACATCTCTCTGCATTCATCTTCTTCCTCTACCTCCCTGTCCTTCTCCTTCTCCCTCTCCCTCTCCTCAAGTAGGGTCCTTTCTCTCTCACAGTGAGAGTCCCACTGTCAAAACTAATAAAATCCCTATCGGGTCACTCGGCCCATTGCCACCCTTTGTTAATAAAATAAAAATAAATGCAGTTCGCCTTTCTTTCTCCTCTCATCTCAACTCTCAGTAACATGTAGAGATAGATTTTCAGTAACATGTAGATAGAAGATGAAAAGATTGAAACAATAGGGGGCAAAGAAACAAAGACACAACCAAGTAGTTTATTCATCTACATAACCAAGAATCCCAAAATCAAATCACTCCATCAAATGAATAACAATAAAAATCCAAATCTAAAACTACGCAGTAAAAAAAACCAATGAAACACAAAAGCAAAAGCTATGCAAGTGAAATCTCCTCCAAAACAATGGATGATGCTATGCTCACTCTAAAGGAAGAGAGCAGCGGCGCCGATAACCGCAGATCCAACCGCGGCAAATCTGAGAGAAGCAGAGAAGCCGGGGGCAGCACTCGGAGGCGACTCTGTTGGGGGAGCTTCAGGGGTGGGAGCAGATGGTGTGACAGGAGCGGGAGACTCGGGGGTGGGCGCCGGAGGGCTCACAACGGCAGGGGCAGGGCTCTTGCTCGGCGGGGCGCCAGGAGCAGGAGATGGGGAGGGGGCTTTCGATGGGGTGGGGGCTTTCGATGGGGTGGGGACTGGAGTGGGTGCAGGTGGCGGCGACATGGCGGGCGATGGGGCTGGAGTTGCTTTGGGCGGCGATGCTGTTGGAGGTGAAGATGTGGGGGCACCACCGGGCGCCTGAGCCATTGAAGAGCTTATGATCAGAGAGAGCACCACCAAGAGAGAGAAGGTAATACGGCTTGATAGACCCATTTTCTCTCTCTCCAATCCAGAGAGAAAAAGCTATTTAGAGAGAGAAAGCTCAGAGGGACTGTAGAGAGATAAAGCTCAGAGGGTAAGAGTCTTAGAGAGAGAGAGAGAGAGAGAGAGAATAGTTGTGAGCTTATGCAGAATGGGAGGGTTTGCTAAATATAAAGGGGTTAGGGGGGTTTAAGGAAGGAGAGAGGATCAATAATTATCCTCGCCAACTAAGTCGGGCTCTTATCTTCTGAATCATGGGCCCACATCCCTTAATCCAATCTTTTTTTATCATGATTTCTATTCCCTACCCAAGGATTTATCTCTCGCTTATCAACTGATCATGCATGTCTATCACTATAATGGAAATAAATAAAATCACTGATCTAATTATTTGTAAACTCTTTGGTATATTTTGGTCATTTATAACTGTATAAAGGAGAGAAAGAGATAAATATAAACACCTAATATTTGTGCTTTGATTTATAGAAATAATATTAAAATTAAAATAGAATATGTGCTCTAAAGAAATATGTGCTTTGATTCATACACTGGCTTTATCATTTTCTTTGTGCCCATATTTCTAGCCCAAATATTTATCTCTTGTGTGAACTTTAGTAAAACAAACAAACAAACAATGGATAATTTCAACTTATAAAAATAAAATAAAAAATTAAAGGGTGTAGTTTGTTTATGGCTGAGGATTTAAACTAAGACACACCTTCAAATAGTATTGAAAGATTTTGCTTTAGTATTAAAAAATTTTATGATGACCTAAAATTTATTTTCATCTCTAATTATAAAATTTTAAAGCTTCAAAAATAATGTACATCAAACAAATTTATGAAAACTTGAAAATGGATAGTCTAGGAAATGTATTACAAAATGCAATATTTTCAATATTTAAAATTCATTTTTTTTATGTCTACATCTCTAAGTAAAGGTAATCAATTTGAGGGATTTTTAGTATGGAAACAACTTAGTGAATTTTTGAAGTGTACCTTAATTTGATTGTATAGAGCCTCACCCTAATATAAACTTTAACTTTTGCCAAAATTAAATTGCAAACTAAAACTTCCAACCTGTATCAATTATCTGCCAGATAATAGGATATATTTCAAAACGCAAAGTAGTTGGGATGCATTTCTCCATGCCAAACATCCATATTTAAAATGGATGTAAAGGTGTGCTCCTTCCTAAAAGAACTGAATCCAACGGTTCAAAATTTTTATCCAAAACAATATCATTTGTAATTTTTGTTTTCATTTTCTTTTTATGCATAAATGATCTCCATATTAGATATTATATATTGAAAATTTAATCCCAAAATTTATCTTAAAAATTGATCAAAGGAGGGGCCCCATTTATACATATGAATCTTAGGACTCATACAAACAAGGAAAGGGCCCGGTTGAGGTTCTATGCCACAGAAACTCAACCCAGTTAACGCGTTAATGCGTGGGGACCAGTCTTCCTCAAAGTGACGCAAGCCTTTAGATAGTGTAGAGAAATCTGATTTCAATACTGAAAATATTCGTGATAGCTTTAAAATATATTTTTATATTTATAAAATTTAAATCATAAAAAATAGTGTAAGCACATCTATGAAAACATGAAAATCTTGAAAATTGACGGTTCAAAAATGTGTTATAAAATGCACTATTTCTTAAACTTGAAATCCATTTTTTTTCTCGTATTTATGCATCTTGATGTCGAGATGATCAATTTGAAGATATTTGAGCATCAAAATAACATCTTCTAGTAAAAAATTTTAAATGGCCTCTAATTTCATAGTTTAGAGCCTCAGCTCTATATAAACTTTTTCCTTTCAAAGAGGAATGGGCCAATGAAGCAGTTCAAGGAAAAAAGAAAAACAATAAGCCATAAAAAAGGAAAGGAATGGGCCAATGGAGCAGTTCAAGAAAAAAGAAAAGAAAAAAAAAGAAAGAGAATGTCATGCGTAGGATTGCCGCGTAATAAAATTCAACTTCGTTACCCTATGTGCTTCTTTTTACTGCACATATCCTTCCTTGATCAAAACACCTAGCTAGCTTGATCAAAAATTTTGGGATACATACTTGATTAGGAAAAAAAAAAAAATTGAATTTTACTTTCGTGATACATAGATCTATCCCATTCAAATATTGGACGTTCTCTATCCAATTTTGAGGTATTACTTTTTTTACTACATAGATAATTTATTTCAGAAATTTTTTTTGCTGGCATTATTCTATGAGTTGTAGATATTATATCCTCAAAATTTCAGATCTAAGAAATATATGTAGCATGAATTTTGCCTGAGGGAGTAAAGAGAGAGTGCACTTCCGCGGGAGCACAAGATCTTTTGGCTTTACTTATCATCTTAGGAAATTAGGTTGATGAGACCGTATAAAATTCAAACGCGACGCTAGTACAGCCATAAACGTCCTTATCAACAAGAACATACCGAGAAATACCACAAAAAATATTTCTATTAAATTTTTTCCAGGCGTTACAAAGAAATGCTACGAGGGCTTGCCGCCGTGAATGTTATAACGAAGCTCAAGTAACGGGGGTCACAGATCGGATTGGTGGGTTAGTTTACAACTCAGTAACGTTATAAAGAAAAATTAATGTTTTACCAAAAAAAGTAAAAAGAAAAAAAGAAAAGGTCGGTCACTCTTTCTTGAGTGATTTACGTGCCGACCCTAAAACGTTTTCTAAAATAGGAAATGCTTTTGTAGGTGAAAATTAGAAAGAAGGTCGGTTAATTTATTTTTTTCAAAATTATTCTTAGGTCTGAAGACATTTTTAGACCAAATTTTATTTTATTTTTTAAAATTTCGTTGTTAGTAGGGCACTACCCTAGAGCTTGGGGCACTGCCGTACTAACAATAAAAAAAAATAAAAATTAATTTGGACTGAGGATATCCTCAAACCAAAGAATAATTTTGAAAAAATAAAATAAAAAATAGGTTGACCGATCTTTTTTGTAACTTTTGTCTATAAACAAATAAGTTTTTATTTTAGAAAATTTTTTAGGGTCCGTATGTAAATCACTCAATAAAAAAAAAGGAAAGGTAAAGGCAAAGAAATGCAGACGTATGGGAGATTAACAGGAAAAAAAAAAAGACAAAAATAGGGAAAATATTTGAAGAATGCATTTTTTTGTATCTTCGACTGAGGATTTTTTCAACTAAAACAACAATTTATTTATGAGGTTCTGAAAATAACGGGCGTTATATAGGTTATATCCAGTTTTAGTGATTACTTTATTCACAAAATTGAAAAAGCTATAAAAGGCAAAAGACATTTTTCTAACAGCACTTTATGCAAATTAAAGGTTCTTCTTGCCTGAACAGACAACTCCCCTTCCCTTTTATCTTTATATATCATAATGGCGTGTGTCCAATAGGGACGTTTTTTTTTCTCCTTTCTTGGCCATGGTTATGAAACAGACAGGATGACTGGCAAATGAAATACAATCCAAGTAGCAAAGGGAAATATTTGTATGTGGCCCCAACAACATATAAATTATATTTGTGACCCCATCTTTTAGTCGTTCGATTTGAATTGAATGGCTATAGTTGTTCATACCACAATGTCATGTCAAACATTATTTTATTTTTTAATTTTTTTGTAAAACATATTTGGATGAAATTTTGGGCATCCCATCATAAAATTGGGTGAATCTGGAAAAATAAAAAACAAATATTTTATGTAAAAATAAATGACCAAAGTACATCTGCAATTTTCAAGGGTATTCTAATGGTTTTTCATCATCAGAGATATTGTTTTTTTGTTGTTAACATGTGTGCCCCTGTCAAATCTATACATGCCCCAAATTTTAGTTCAAAATTATTTCTAAAATAAAAATAAAAAATAAAATATTATGAGCCATCTTATCAATATCTTATAGTTAAGAGCTAATTTGTGATATTGTGACTCAAGTCATCTTAACCATGTACTCAGATCTGGCCGCTGAGACCAAAGGTCATCTATACCATGTATGTGGGTGGGTCACCCAATAGCATAAGTGTGATACAGGATATCATCCCTGTTATAACGTTATTGTATCGTATCGGCACGTTGCTCGCTATTAACGACGTTATTCTGAAACCTACCTCCAAAAAATAAAAGAATTTTTTCAAAAGTTATAATATAATCTCCAATATCCTAAGCAACGTGGAGAGGGACATGTCGCGCTGGAAATTAAAATTTAAAAAATAGAAGGGAAAGAAAAATGTCAAATTAAAAAATGGAACAGGGGCGGATAAAGTTGGGTTGCCGCCCTTAACGATCCAAATTTAACAAGTAAATGGTTGACAGGTGTTTATGCTTAATTTTGATTGTCGTGGGTTAGGTGGCCGGTTGCATATAAGGCCATATGGGTACCCCACCAGCTCAACGGCTACTATTTTTTCCTCTACTCTTTGTTTGGTGAGAACGTGGGTGTAAGTCGTATTTTTTTTTTCCTTTTTTTTTTGAGTGATTTACGGATAGATCTTACATGTTTTTAAAAAAAACAAAACGAAAATTTTCATTTATAAGTAGAAATTACAAAGAAATTCAGCCAACCCGCTTTTTTTTTTTTTCAAAATTAACCCTCGGTCTAAAAACATCTTTGGATGGAATTTTAATTATTATTTATTAGTTTTTTCATTAGTAGGGCACTGTTCTAAAGCTTGGAGCACTACCCTACTGATGAAAAAACTAAAAAAAAAATAATGAAAATTCGGACTTAGGATTCTATCCTCAAACCGAAGAGCCATTTTGAAAAAATAAGAAAATGCTGGTTGACCGACTTTTTTGATAATTTCCTCTTATAAGTTGATCATTTTGTATTTTAGAAAAACTTTTAGAGACTGTACGTAAATCACTCTTTTTTTCACCTTAGCTCAAGTTTAATGTTGAATGAAGCCACAATTTAAAACTTCGCTCAAATATGGTTTTAGCACCACAAACTCTTATTGTGACTTAAAAAAGTATTTTCATCCCTCGAATCCTAAAAATTAGTCCAAATCATGAAAATAGATGATCTAAATAATGTGTGAAAAAATAACCTATTTTTAGGG